CAGATCTCCAGGTTTTTCTCCCGTGGTGCCACTGGGTCGGTTTGAACCGCCAACCTTTCTGTTAGCAGCTATGTTCTTACAACTGCTGCCTCATCATGGTTCTGTATCCCTGTTGCTCTGGGTGCCGTTAAACAGATTCCGCCTCATATAGAAGCAGGAGGACTGAGGAGAACTGCACTACCGGGTTTCCTCTGTGAGGAGCTGCTGGGTGGGAGGTTTGAACCACCAACCTTCTAGCTAGCAGCCAAGTGCTTAGCCCATTGTACCTACTGGAGCATGTCCTCCCACCCCCACTGCCATCGAGTCCTATCTGACTCACAGCGGCCCTCTAGGAAGGACAGAATACAACTGCTCTAAAGGGCTTCCAAGGCCGTCATCTTTAGCAAGCAGATTGCCTCATTTTTCTCCTGAGGAGGGGCTCGTGAACTTGAACCACCGACCTCTCAGGTAGCAGCCAACATTTACACTTAACCCCTTGCACCACCAGGGCTCCTGGGGCACATACTAGTCAGTAGAGAACATGAGCAAAGGGTTAGGAGAAGCTGTGTTTCAAGTTTCCTACAATCTCAGAAATCAACATGGCAGGAAGGGAGATTCTCAGGGTCCCGAGGCAGTGGGGCCCACTGGCTAATTGCCAATATGGCAGCTGGCCATGGTCCTGCTGATCTCATAGTAGAGGAGTGGGAGGCACGTGGTCATCTTTCCTCTGTTCATGCTGCTCACCGATGCAGCGGTCCCCGCAGAGTGATGGTTTCGGGGAGGTAGTCGACCAAGGGTGCCCAGCAACCTCCAGTACAAGGCATTGGTAGGGGCTGTGGTTGCTTGATTTCTGTAATGTTCAACAACCAGCCTGTGTAGGGAGAAACTGGATCATCTGTAGAGAGAGAAAGACAAGTGTGCTTTATTTCTGGGGAGAAAAGATTTTTGTTCTCCCTGCTTGGTGATTTTTAAGACCCCATCTTACAAAATCTTGCTAGCCACAGTGACTCTCTAACCCTGCAGTTAGGTGAGCATGAAGGATTTGGGTTACAATGACTTGATTAGGCTTTGTCCCGTGACTGTTTGGATAATGAATCAGAGGTTGGAACGTACAGACACAAGAAAAACATTAAATCGCGTGCATTCCTATTGGTGTGAAAGGTTCCTTTTTCTGTAAAATTTCCGCATTGCATTCAAAGACAATCTGGTATTTTCCGTTTGCTCAGGACCAGAGGCATCCATGACTTCTCTCTCACATCCCACGTGAACCCCCAATGGTGTCGATGACAGTAATACTAATAAAAAATAACATTAGGAATGAGAGGGATAAATGTTTCACACAGTAAGAAACCCGACTGTAGTTAGTTTCCATGGAACCCACTGACTCCTGGTACCCCCTTGTGTGCCAGAGTAGAACTGCTCCATGGGGTCTTTCTTCCCAAACACCTCTGGGTGGGTTGAAACCACCAACCCCTCCAACTAGTAGTCACATGCTTAGCT